TTATCTCAATAATTATTGTCTTCTTTATGCATTTTTGGTACCTGTTTTATTTGCAAATTAATGAATATACATTGTGAACCTGGCACTCAAAACAATTGTGAGATGGGTAAGGGAGTGTCACATTATTTTAGGTGATCTTGAACTCTTCCTGAATGTTAAAATGCCTTGTAATTATTTAACTTTAAGTTTATGTTGAGCACACTACATATATTCTCCAGGAGTTGAGATGAAAGAATACTTAACAAGGATTTAACAAATTTCCCATATTGTAATGGGGTCTATAACATTGGAATGGACTCTGGTGCTGGGTGATATTACTGGAATCTTGAAGAAACAGTGCAAGCATTCTGGACAAGCAGAGTGACGTAGTAAAGGCAAGTATCTGGGGTTAAAGGCTGATCCTATCACAATAAAATGTTGTGCAAGCGGCAAAGGGAAGTAAGAAAACAAACAGTCCAGGAAGGTTAATAAATGCACAATCTGGATATTCCAGAAAATCTCAAATGCACAAGCACAGGATTTGTGCCTTTCTAGTAACCATGGACAAAGCCTGCATGACAGTAAACTGACCTGACACATTTAGGCATCACCAAGTACTCAGGCATCACCATTAGATATTTAGCAAATAAAAGAAGATGGATGAGTTCATTGCTTCTTGGTATGGCAGGATACTCCTGAGGAGATGAAGTTTCCTTCTTAGTTTCAATATCACATGAGAGGGTCAGTGGTGTACTGAGAATAGCGAGAAGCTTGTCTGGGTTATTCAGTAACCAGTGCAGGGAAGCAAATGAAAAACAACACGTCACCTCTCAAAACAAACAACCAAACAAAACCCAATAATATTAAAAATGTTTGTCTAGAGAGAAAAAGAGCAAGAAGCCCGAGTAAAATGTCCTTAAATATTTGATATAATTTTTAATTTCTGTGAACTCCAGATATAAAGTTAGACCCATTTGCATCAGAAAAGCACTTGAGAATACAGTACGAACAATACTATTTCAAATTGTCAAACATAGAATTGACTCTGATAGTTCCTTTCATAACAATTGTCATTGACAGGGTTTGAAGAGAAATAATTAGGTGTGAACAAATGTAATGTATTTTAATGTAAGTAAGGGGCAATACAAATATTGCTAGTGAAGACTGAACACAAGGCATGTAAAAATCCTCAGAAAATATTCTGCTTTTGAGCTGTATCAAATCTTGTCTTTTTTTTCATTGATTACAAATATTCATGAGGTAAAAAGCTGATTGTTACTCCTCATGCCCATGATGTGAGGGCCAGAATCATACTGGCAGCATACCGTTACCACAAATTGCATGTGTACCCTTTGTCCCCCACTAAATTATCCCCAACCTCCCTCCCTCTCTGCCTCCCCCTACACTCCACTTTGAAGCCCAAGGACTGTTCTCTCCCTCTGCAAGTCCAACACACCACTGTGGTCTTTCTTTCCTTCCTTCTTTCTCACTTAGCTCCCATGTATGAGTTAGTACATGTGGTATTTCTCCCCCTGTGCTTTGTTTATTTCAGTAAACATAAGTTTCTCCAGGCTTATCCATGTTGTTGCAAATGGGGGAATTTCATTCTTTTTTATGGCACAGTAGTACTCCATGGTGTATATATACCAGTTTCCTTATTGAATCATCCATTGGTGGACATTTAGGTTGGCTCCATATCTTGGCTATTGTAAACAGAGCTGTGATGAACATGGGAGTGCAGGTATCCATTTGAC